GACTTATTGATATATAAATATCTGAGCATTGCTAGAGTCATGATTGTATGGCTTAATGGTACTTTGGCCTTTCATGTAAAGGCATCATTCTAATGAGTATCATCTGTTTCTCAAACCTTAGGGGTATCTTTAATATTTACTATTTAGTATTGATTTAAACAGAGAATTTAGGTGTCCATCCTTGAAATAAGTATGGAAAATACTATAGATTATGACATTCTTGCTTATAAAAAACTGTTTAAAATTCAAAAAAATTGAGTAATCTTTTTCCAATAGTGTCATTTTCATGATGCCCTTTAAGTACTTGAAAAAAATTGATGAATGGAGCAAAGGTGGGTTTTTTTTTTTTTTTTTTTTTTTTTAAAAAACCTTCTAGTCAAAACACATGAAAACAAGTGTTCTTTTTGAGTTTTGGTTAGGATATGCTGCTGCTATCTTCTTACTCTCATAATTCCTCTTTCAGTTCTCCAGTGAGGTCACTGTTGGGTCATGCTTTAAAGGCATACATGGGAAAATAGAAAGTAATAACTGACATGTTATGATTAGAAGATATAAATAACTAAGAGTGGAGTTTCAAGGTATTTAGTGCTTTAGTTCAGGCAATTGAAAGCTCTGCATTTATGATTGGATTTGCTAAATCCTTGTTTCCCCTTGGATGGAGGCGGGCCTGAAATACACTGAGTAGATAAGCATAAATCAGATTTCAGTAATGGTAATCTCTTGCCCATCTTAATAAATTTAAGAATTAATGAAGCAGTAAGGATTGATATAATTCATAGTAGACAGTGTCTGGTTTTAAAAACTTGTGTGATTATTTATTCTGAAGTTGTGCTAAATATAGGTCTTCTGTAACCTAATGTGTCAGTATCTATCTTTTGGTTGGTTTGGAGGAGGGAAAGGTTTTGCTTCCTGAAAACAAATTAACGTTGCTGCCTTGGCACGTAGCTTTGCATTTTGTCTCATGAGAAGTACAACTCTTGCTTTAAAGCGACAAAACTGTATAAGGCCATGACAAACTGCCCTACTTCCACCTCAAAACTAAAGTAGAAACAAACTGGCTTGGTCTGGTCTCCAGAATTGACAGAAGAAATGTGGGCAGCTTTTCTAAAAGAAAGATTCTATTTTAGGGCGTTGAAAACTCTAGCTAGGAACTCTGGTTGTTTGTGTCCTGTTTTCCAGTTGCATATTTCATCCTTTAGCCAGGTAAGGGGGTGTGATTCTTTTTGACAAAAAAAAAAAAAAAAAAAAAACACCCTAATAAAACAGGTTTCTTGTGAACATGTAAGCCTTGGAAGTATGAGAGTATTTCTCTTGAGAAACAAGAACAACCCTCACATTCAATTTTTATGTCCTCATTTTTTTCACCTATGCATGCAATCTTCTGGAAGATCTTAAAGCTCTGTTCTTAGAATATGAATCTCGCTCTCCCAAAATTTCAATTTGGACATTTGAGTTTTTTGACTTTAGGATTTTTAAAGCCTGCCATATACATGACTCATGTAAGATGACAGACACCACCTCTCTGATCACAGATCTAGATTATATACTCTCCCAATGGCTCATAGTATGATAGAGAAAGTCCTTGTGTGAATCATTTTCATATGAGTCATGAGGGATGTGCCTTATATTACTCAGCTATGTAACTTGTAATCTCTAGGTGGTTGACAGCCCTGCATTTTTATCAAATTGATTTTCCCGAGACTTTTACATCTTTAGATATGGTACTGCTGTGGGTGTTGTCTTCATCTTCTGAACTGGAAGAGTCTGGCAGTTAGTTTTGCATGCCTTGGCATGTCCATTCGGTTCTTTCCAAGTAAATGCATCCCTTTGTGCAGTAACCCACTTAATTTCACTTCTCCAGAAGTGAATAGAGCTGCCATCGAAATGACTTAGCAGTAAACAGAACTTCTGAGAGGTGAAGCTGTAACGGGCTGCTCTAGGAACAGAAATGGAAATCTAAGACCTTTGGCCCTCCACCAGCAAGTGGCCTCGCCACTAAACTACATAATCCAAAGCATGCTTGCTCTGTGAGGAGCAAATGGGAACAAGTTCAGCTGGAGGATTTAAGAATAATCCCCTTTTCTCTCTCTCTCCTGCCCCCTTCAACAACCTAGATATAGCCAAGTGATTAGAGAAATCTTCAGAAAGGCAACAGATACAGGTTTCAATCCCATCAGCCTAGGAATGGTGAAGCTTCCTTACATCCTGGTGGAGTGTTCTAAGAATTTAGTAGTCATTTCAAAAGCCTCTATTCCTGTCTTGAAAGTGTATTTATACGGGATCTTAAAGTGCTTGTGACTCTGAAGGCAGGGAGATGGGGCTGGACTTGCTCCTTTAGTGGCAGTGATATTTCTGTGTAGCTTGCACCCTGGGTAGACTTCACTTTGGAAATAAAACTTCAGTCTTGGGAGTTACTTAGTGGTTAATTTCGATTCCCTTTCTGAAGTGTCTGAGTCTGCCTAGGTTACATGAAGGGCATTCCCCGTGTAACTAGGGACAGGCTGTGGAGAAATGAGTTTGAAAGTGGCACTCCTTTCTTGCTGAATGTGTGTTTTTTTTTTTCTCTAGTTATGTGGAATAACTTTGTATCATGATGTTGCTGCTGTGCCATTGCTACTGTGATACGTCTTTCTGCCATATATAAGCTTTATAAAGTTCATGAGAGTTTTGTGTTCTTTTGCATGACTTCAACTGTAAAATGCAAATGTTAGCTTTTCACCCAGTGTTTATTTGTTCACTTGATCTCCATGCAGTTGATATTTGTCCAGTTACTGACAACACGGATGACACACAACAGAAACAACTGACAAAAGCAACACTGCTGTTGAAACTTCAGCAAAATATGGGTATGTTACCTTCCTGATTCTGCTATGGCAATCCAGGAATTACAGAGCGGTTTTCAGTACTGTTCATTCCCACGGCCTTTTTATGGGGTTAATGAAAAATCGTAGGCTTTGCTGCTGGTGACTTTATGCAATAGCCTTTTCTAGAATGTGCCCCTGCTTGAGTTACATGGACAGGGTGTTTGTTGGAAAATAAGAACCACAGTCTGCAGTTTTGACCAATCCAGTCGGTTTATATAGCTTACTTGCCTTTGAGGAACCACCAGCTCTGTTGCCCTGCACATGGAGAGGGAGCATAATTGAATAGCTCTGACAAACAGGCATCTTTAAACAGGTTAGGGAGTCATTAGCTTCTTCTAAAGCTTACATGAATATGGGCTTGAGTATTGGCCTCAGTAACTTAGGGAAGAGCAGTGGCAAAACTTCCCTCTCAAATACAGCTTCTTAATGCTGACTGGTACAGGGTCTCATGCCCTTTTCTGCATTTGGCACAGTTCTCTGAGCCTCAGCTGTCTTTTTTTTGTTCAGGTACACTATCAAGGATGTACTCTTTTTAGTGTATTGAACAAAACAGTAACCTTTTGTCTTCCGATTATTCTTAAAAGCAGAACACAGTGATTACAAAAGAGCAGTAATATTAAGTATGAGTCTGGTCTGGATATATCAGAATTTTTCCTTGAATTGTCAATCTATTTCTTTTTCCCAAAAATCTTGTGCTCAGCATCATCAGTAACATGCTTATTAATAGAAAAATAGGTGTTAAGCTATGAAGATTAATTCAGAGGCCTAAGAAGTAGGTGTAGTACAACCCAAAAACCTATCCATCTTGTTTTTGTTTGAAGCTGATTAGTTATTTCTGCTAGTCTTGCCTTCTGGAATGAAGCACTAGTGTGGAGTCAGTGCTGTTGCTTTGTGGGCCACAACACTGCCGAGTTGTTCCTGAAGAATGCAGTCACCTGGATGTTGGAAGAATCATGCTCCCATTGGAAGGTTCCTGTGGGCCTTGTATAACGCAATTATCCTGCATCATAGCTTTAGGTTTAGGCTTAGCAGTGGTGCACAGCTTTTCTGGGCCTGGCTCTTATTGCTCCTATTGCTGCATTTCATTGACCCTGCCCTCCACACCCTAGCCACGGATGACTGTGCTGCCCTTGCCACTCACTGAATGCATTTCCTTTGTCATTTCTAGGTGTGGTAATAGCAGCTGCAGTTGCAGTCTTTGCATCAATCTTCTCTTTTAACTACTTCAGTGACTAAACTCAAGCAAATGGAGCCTCATGGAAATATTGACCAGTAATCACGCTTATACAAGGTGGAAACATCTGGGTTTAATGTCCTAGTAACTAAGAATTGGTGCCTAAATATCACCAGTTAGGTGTGCAATATAAATTATAATGATACATCCAGTTACCTTGTTCCAGTATGCAGTTGTGGTAGGTGAATCAAGTTTATTAGAAACCAACTCTTCTCATTTGTGCAAATGGTGGTAAAATGGTATCATAGTCTAGTAAAATCCCTCAAATCAAGATAGAACTTTTATTTTCTTCCCACACGCTACAATAATGTAATATTCTACTACAGTTTTTTATGGTATTGCTAAAACTAGTAGTAGTACAGTTACCTAGTGTGACAGTTATTGCTTCAGGGATTTCCTTCCTAAATTCTTATTTTAGCTATCAGAAATCTCTTCTCATTGAAGTTAATTGGGGAAAAATGGATCTCAAGTTGCTTAAGCTAATATTGTTTAATTGGCATAATAAGCATACAAATTTCTAGCAATTTCAATTTTCTTAGGCTAATTCAAACTGTAAAAACCTTAGTTTAAGACCTGAAGAACCCAGAAATCAGTGATGTGTAACTTTTCTCAGATTAACTTCTGATAAGAACTTCTTTATCCATCTCCTGATTCAATCATCTTTCACTTATGT